AAAAGCGATTTAATTTTTTGACCTTGGTTAGTGCAAAACACTTACGTATGAAAAACATGTAAGGAAAAATTAGGAGAAAGATGTTTCAAACATATTTTTTTGCAAATTAATATTCTGTAGGTACGTAACCTTTGCGAGGTCAATTACGGCAACAAACAGTGTAGTAAGAAATACACTTAAACTTTCCAAGTTCCATGCCTTATTTATGATAGAGCTAGAACGTTTCGACCGTGTTATATACAGGCGTCAACTAATTAATAACTTAAAACTACGGTATGTATATTTATAATTAAATAAGCGATCACCTGGGTGCGATGTTGTGTTCTGGTTGGTTGCTTTGCAGTTCCGGAATTATTTTCAACAGCGGTTTCCATATGCTACTGATTTCCACACTTGAATAACTACACGGTGATTGTTGCTGGATGAATACTGCTTCTTTAAACGTACACCGGAACCAGTGCTCTTCCTTAAGAAGAATCTCAGCCTTCTCCCAAAGAATCTTGTGATTCTCCAGGCGTGTTCTGCAGTAGGTACTTCGTTTCTTTCTGTGTTAAAGGCTAGACGAAAACAAAGTTGTTTTTCTTCCAAGGTAGTTGGTCAATCATCCATTCTTATCGGATATTCCTTTTACATATGGCAGTTGTAGTAGCTAGTTGCTAGTTGCTTGTCCTCTTGAATTTTGAATGTTGATCCGTCAGCTTTATATTGCTGAATTACGTTGTCCATCAATTTATCTGAGTATCTGTACTTCTTCATGTCTTTTTGTATGTTGCAAATTTCTTTTTGTAGTCTTTCTGAAGTATTGCATACCTATGAGACTGTTCGATGGAACAGGCTCCTAGTTATTCCTCTTCTTATCGAGCCCGAATAGTTAGAAGCACGGTTGAGCTATTACCCTACGTGTGTTGGTTTCCGATACACACACGTGTCGAATTTGCTCTAAGTCCTTGTATCTAAATCTCTGTCATAAAAGAAGGAATGGAACTACGAAATTTGAGTGTATTTCTAACACAACCGTGTCTACAACTTTCAAAATAATAGTGTAGTTTGTCTAACGTATGAGATAGGGTTAAAAAAGTTCGCCGAAGTAAGGGGGAGCTTTTACCCACCTCGATAGTAGTTTAGGTTAGGTTAGATTAGACTAAATTACGTTAAAACTGAATAATATGCATTTTGTATAAATAATAGATTATTGCTTTTGTTGATAATGCCCTCATAAAAGGAGGACGGAACAAGTGAGCGTTCGGTCAGTTCTACTAAAATTTTGATAAAACAAAACGGTTGGTAAGTCCCTACCTTAAAAAATTCCCAACATTATAGAGAAGTTCTTTTGCGCATATTTAACACCTGAGCCATATCTAAATACAGGACCCGTTTTCATACATGATTAATAGCGATGATAGTGATTACTGTCATTGAATACAACGATATGTTCGCTTTCTATTCGTTACCGAAATTCTCCGACGCATTTCTAAAGTATAATACTCAATGCGTACTTAGTTGAGCTATTCATGAAGCCAGGTGTTGCGCTTGGGAATGCCGCTCGTGAAGATTAAGATCTGCGGCTTAAGTCTTTTCATCGTGGAAGTGTGAGGTATAAACAATTCGTGGGGTCGCCCTTACATTGGATATTTATCACTCGCTGTATAGGAGCAGCTCAAAAGAGTTGCTTAGGTCACGTAAAGCAACTGCCATGATATCAATAAATACTCTGAGGTAGCACCGTCCATTCTTCCGTTCTATAACGTACCAAGTACCTCGTCACACGCTAGCTTGAACACATAAGTTTTGCTGTTAAACGTTCGTTTTTAATAATAATTGTCAACGATACTTCATTCAACAGAAATTTATTAACAGACTAACTCGCCGCTGACTAATTATGAGTGACAACTCCTTTTGTCTTCATCATCATCATAAGGTCGTCAGTCCTAAGACTGGTTCGACACGCACCTCCATTCTTACTTATCCTGAGCTAATCTTCGCATTTCCGTAAAACTAGAACAACCTACATCCTTAACTATTTGTGAACAGTAATCTAAGCCAGGCCTACCTCTACTCCTCTTAACTCCTGCTTCTGCCTCTGATATATCTCTGACTAGACCTTCATGTCTGAAAGGTGTCCTACCAACCACTCTCCTATTTCTTATTGACTTCCATAGAGTCCTCTGTTCTTCTATTCTTTCTAATATCTCTTTGTTTCTAACCTTTCGTATTCACGGTATCCTCGTCATTCGTCTATAACATCACATTTCGAACGCTTCCAACATTTTCTTTTTCGCCGCACCCGCCGTGCGCCTTGCTCCAAACATACACCTGTAACAATCGAATTTTCGAATTTGTAAATTGACCGTTCGTGAGCATAGAAGTGACTTATTTTTATTGAATGCGATTCGACCCTGCGCTATCCTCTTCTTTATATCCCTACAACTCCTTCCGTCCTGACTTATCTGACTTCCTAGATACCTAAAATCAACCACTCCTTCTAATTTTTCGTGTCCTATCTTTATTTATATTCGGTTTTTCCCTACTTTTTCTTCCCTTGCATACCAGTATTTTTGTTTTACCTTTACTTATTTTCATGCAATACTGTTTTCTCATTACCGTTTCCATTTTATTTAAAGCTAACTCCTCCTTGCTAGATGCTAATACTGCTATATCATCTGCAAATCTAAGCATACTAACATATTACCCCTATATATCTATCCTTTTGTCCTTTTAGAATATTATTTAATTAAAGGGAAATCGTAAATTTCTAATTTTAAATGGAATTACTACTTGACAAACTTCATTTCGGCGTTTCACATGAAACAATAGGATTTCTTTTGTGGATTTCTAAACGTTGTTTTCCTAAAGTTGGTCAATTTCTTATGGCAAGAAGCTTCACAAAATTTTGTCCTAGAATTAATTTTTAAAGGCATCATATAGAGAGAAGCGATTTATGATTTACTTTAATAGATAAATGCGTGATTAATTTGGGTTAAACTTTTAATTAAACAGCAGTTTACGCGTTTCACCTTACCTTAATATCTTAAGGGTCTGTTAACATTGCAATTAATTCTTTAGTGTGTCTTATTGTTATTGGTAACAATTTGCATTGCTTAGAAACTAACGTACTTAATCCCTTTTTATTAAAAACGAATTTAGAATCATCAGAAATACCAATTGCGAACACTTGAGGTTTATGAGTCATCGGTTAAAGGAACCTCTTAGACTTAGAGTTCTACGACCTAATGCGATGATTAAGATTTAGTGTAGTCTATTGTTTTGAATGTAAATAAGCAAGCGCAGAGCTCTTCTAAAATACATTAAAGAGAATTTCTGAACTGGCACAGAGAATAATCAAAACGCAAAATTTATTTTGCCATAAGAGCAAATTTATGATTTCATGACCTTTCTTACCTTCCTCAAATTATTGCGTACATTGCGTAGAATAAAATGATTTCATACTGAAGTAGAATCTAAAGTTTCACCTTAAAAGTCAAAAATAAAGCATTTGCAGGTTTTTTATTTAGATGAATGTTTTTGATAATGTTGACTAAACCTTCACTTTCGAAATTTTTTTTTAGCTATGTATGGATTCCGCTGCGTCCTTGCAGAAAATGGCTCTCTGACTTTCTCTTTGAAACTTTGGATTCTGGTAGTTTTTGACATATACATCGAATATCTCAATAAACTAAACATCACTAAACCGTAAAAACTCATCTTTTTGAGATATGGTTCCTTAAAGTTGCATTCTTCTGTTAGGAATTCCAAGAAACAATTAAGTTTATTATGTTGTTGTAGTATACCTATGTGTATTGCATACATTATTACGGATGTGTCATAGTTTCGGACCACGGATGGTAATGCACTCTGAAAAAGTGTAGTACATCTCAACATCATAATGTACTTATCTATGAAACGCTTTGACATTTAATAGTGGTTAATATCAAATATTAATGTGAAAATTCATTTTCAATTTTTTAACCACTATAAGCTCCTCAAGTAAATGAGGGAAAATTTGTTGCTGTTGTCACACCGTCGCCGAGAATCGAACCTAGGACCTTTGACTTTTCGCACCAATGCTCTGACGATTAAGCATTGGTTAAAAAATTGAAAATAATTTTTCACATTAATGTACTTATGGCGTATTCAGAAGTGTAATCAAACACTAACAACAACATATAAACCTACCAACGTTTCGCTACAGCTACACTTTTAGTTTTCATACGTCGATAAACTACATATTTTGTATTGGTACTGTCCCCATAAGTTTACAATGACATTGAGGTGTACTACACTTTTGCACAGTACATTACCATCCCTAGTCCTAGCGGGGTTATTTCTGGAAGTAATCAAGATAACAGATATTTTGATAATGGTTTAATTAAACAAATTGATATTAAATCAAAGTAAGAGTTATCGTACTGAGATAAACCAACGGATGTACGTAAATACCCTCTTAAAAAGGATACATGTATGCAACGGATAAAATTTGTGAGTTCCTCTGCTGAAAATATTTTGACTTGCATGGTTCAAAGAGTCCAACATAAGTGGCTCCTCTTAAATCAAAAATAGACTTCAATTAGTTTAAAAATCTTCAAGTGGTGTGTAATTCTAGGAGATATTCAGAAACGACTAAGCTGTAGTTATTATAAGAGCATCCTGAAGGAAATCAAATACTATAAACGTTTGTCAGTACACCACACATTTCCCACCTCCTCACTTACACCTAATTACGAAAAAATTTGACATTACACACGCACTAATTGATGACCCAATGTTTTTGGAATGCACTTTTTTGGGACCTTCTTACGCTTTATGACCTATTTCATAGTCTTGCTGATTAAAATAATACTTTTTGCAACCCCTTAGGACCTTTATCGTATAAAGTTAGTTATATCCCAGATATTTTTGAAATTTAATACCTAACTAATAAATTTGCAAAGTTGTTTGCGTGACCCTGGTTCGTATACAAGTTTCTCTTACCAATGTACATGAATTAGTAGCACCACGATGAGCGGGTCGGAATTGGACCGTATCCCAAGGGATCGGGAGATGAAAACATTGCTGGTCTACTCTACCCTCATCTCGTTTCCAACTTTTACAGCAGTTTCGCAGTTTCGACTGCAAACATAAACTACAAAAAATTTAAGCCATGTCAGTAATATTATTAATAGTTCGAATAATAATAAAATTCTTTTAAATACTTTAACTCATTCCTGTTCTACGATGTTGCCGGTATGATTGCGTCTTCTTCAAGAGTAACCAGTAATCTAAATTTAAAAGGTTTGTAAAATGCATTTATACTTAGTTTTTATGCACGCAAATAATTAACAGGAAAACTCTTAAATACCACTTTTAGCAAATTCAAAGTTGCTTGATACAACTAATACCAGCGTATTCATAGAACTGTATTGCTTATTTAACAAAATTTTCTTTATCTTTAATTGGTTTTTCAATTTCAAATATATTCCAATAAGTCGAAATGTTAATGGGAATATTTTAAGGATGTTTGGGAGGTATGTCAAAATGCTACGAGACAAATAAAAATTTGGAAGAATGTTCCTCATTCAATTCTAAAACTCTTGTAAAAATTACAAATCGATTCACGAAACCGTTAAAAAGTTATTGAAATTTTAAAAAATTGTAATTTTACACGTCATTTTATGGAGATTCGTTAACCGAACAGATTAAATTTATTTTTATTAACAGAAAAAAAGCTACCAGAAATTTCAAACTTTTATAATAAGTAACTTGAACTCTGGAGAATCACTTTAGCGTAAGGTTATTCAAATTCACTAAATGGTTATCGAGGAAAAAATGAAAAATTAGCTGAAAATCTCGTTTTTACTTGATAATATAATGATAATATTTATAATTGTCTGAAATAAATGCAATTTTAAAGTTTTAATTATTATTTAAACATATTAAAAAGTTTTACGCTCATTATTAATAAAGATTGAAACTAAATATTTTTTGTTTCGAAGTTGAAATCAAGGCATATTCACTGCCAAAAGTTAAAAATTTTCCATATTATTCGTTATTTCTTATTTTATTCAAAGTTTTTGGTCAAATTCCAAATTTTCTCTCAAACCGTACACTTCTTTTCAGTATAGATAGTATTTATTTACCTCATGATATGCTGCAAAACCTAATTAATCACGAATTTCTAATTTTATGTACTCTTGTCTTCGATTGAATCTCCCAAACATCCTTAAAGTGTCAGAATTGACAGTACAGCTTCATCTTCTCTATATAAAAATACCTATTTAAGTAAATAAAACCTACAAATGAGAACAAATAAAAAAATGTAAATAAGGTAGCATTAATAAATTCCCATATTTCCAAAGATTTTCTTCAGTTCAAAGATTTCTTTAACAGGATATTAAAAGTAATGCTTTATTTGGAATATGTTTGATTTTTTTAATAAAAACCGAAATAATAAATAGAATTAGATATCGGAACCAAAGGAAAAATGTAACATTAAATATTTCCTTAGACTTTTATACACGATACAAGTTGTTACTTCTTAAAAATGAGGGCGATTGAGATGAAATAAGAAGAACCTAACATAAAATTACAATATTGTAGTATTAACTGTATAAATGAATAGTTTTATAAAACCCAAAAATTTATAAAACTAAACCAATCATCCTCTACGTAAATATTTATTTTGTATTTTATTTACATTAAGAAAAAATCAACTTATCTTAAGCTTACACCATAAATATAGAGATAAATACATTTTTACTTAATAAAGAATGATATAATGTACATTTAGCTGTGTAATAGTAATAAAATATACCGCCATTCGAAAGCAAACTTTAAACGATTTGAAAGCATAAGGATCTCCTTTTATTGGACGCTAAATGAACATAAATGGCTTTTCACACATTTGACCATCGACTCTAATTCAATAAATCTGTTAAATCCTTTACGTAAGCCGTCATTTCATTTGGGATGCGGGTGACTTAATTCTATACGTATATAGTTACGAATAGTTTCTAGATGTACATATATATATAAGGGTCAAAGTTATTAAGTGTAGCATTAACCAACAGTAGCCAACATCTTCAAGCTGATTCTACACATACTCCTAATCCTTTGGGTTTACCTAGATATACAAGGTGTATTACAGTTTGATTCGATATATATATATTTATCCTAAACACAATGCTAGCATTTGACATTTAAAAAATTAGATAAGAACCTTTCATAAAGATGCATTAGTCGATTAACTTTGGTAACTTTATACATTAGTAGGGGTTTGCCTAACTCATTAAACGCTTCAGTAGCTGCAAATATCAACTAGATGGCGATATATTGTCTGTACTCGGATAAAACAGAAGATATGTATTTGGATTTCAGTGCGATTGGTTATTATAAGTTAATCTCTGCATCCTTCATTTGTGTTTCTTGTTCGTTTAATTATTTCATATAAACATCAGAATATTTTTATTTCTTATGGTGGTTGGGTCTGTCTCTCACTTTAAAATAACAATACAACTTCTAATAAAGGGATGGAATAGTCTCATACATTATCGACATTTGTTAATGCGCATTGAAATATATAATTACATATTCAACATGCCTAGTAAATGTAAAAATATGAATAAATAGTATGTATTAATAATTCTTTTTTTTTTTTTGAAAAAGCAACTTGCTGCGGTACAAACCGATATATTTAATACGCAGGCAGTCTTAATTTAATCATAAACATGAAAGGAGCATTAGATGATGATAATTAACATGACATATTGGCTCTCAGATTAACTACATGCATACGTGTATATAAATTACAAGTTCAGATCGAAAATCTACAACTGTAATTTTAATTATTAGATTATTAACATATTGAACCGCTCAAATTATAAAAAAATACTAACTAGTCAGTAGTCACGAACCCATTTTATCATCCATAATATATTGCAGCCATTATTTTTGGTCATTACTTATGATCTCATCAGTTTTATCTGCGAAGCGTACAAAAAGAACATCAAATTTTGTTGAAGTTTTTCTACACAATGGCTTTGTCGTTCATATAAGTGTAGCAAAACGGCGAAGACGTGAACAAAGTCTCCATAAATAGATGCCTAAGGTCAAAGCATTTATTAATGTAAGAATATCATTCTGATTCCGTATTATGAAGTGCTAGATGACTCTCACGGCTCTAAGGATCTCGTATAATAATAGAACGAGCACATCGAGACCATTGTCACGAGGACCTTTATAAGCTACCGTAATAATCCTTGCAATATCTTGTATTGTCCAGACACTCGAATAATAACGTTTTTCTTTCTTCTCGGGAACTTTTCCTCTTGATTCTTGACAATGAGTAAAAAAAATTGCAAAAAATTGTGTAAAGAATTAACAGACAGGAAAAATTACATACCAAAAAGTACATAATAAAAAACACATGACGGTTTTTACTTCAAAAACATGGAAATATTTAGACTACTCTTTTTTTTAAATTTCTTTGCGTGAAAGTTTATCTGTAAATATATATAGCAGTTCCATTCATAGGTTTATTTCCGCAATTTTTTGAAAATTAAAAACATATTTCTACGCATTCGAAGTGGTCTAAAAGCGTGTTTTTTTATTCCTGTGATTTTATTCCTAAAGTAGTCCTACGATAATTAGCTCAGGGTAAACTTGTAAACTTGTAAACTTGTAAACTTGTAAACTTGTAAACTTGTAAACCTGTAAACTTGTAAACTTGTAAACTTGTAAACTTGTAAACTTGTAAACTTGTAAACTTGTAAACTTGTAAACTTGTAAACTTGTAAACTTGTAAGCGAGCACAAAGAAGTTTCACTCCAAAAATTGAGCTTCCATGCACGCGAACTGTAACCTCGAAAATTCGAATAAGATCATTAAAAATGTAGGTACAAATGATCTACAATATACAATGTACGTATGTCTGGAGCAGACTTTGGACTGATGAACTGATGATGATAATGAACTAAATTACAAAATTAAAAGAAATCTTTATTCACAACATCTGTCAAAAGAATATGCTGACAAGTAGATGGTATAATATACGTACAGGATACCGCTTAGGTATTTTATGTTCCACGTACATCAAGCAGATATGATATCGAGTTTTGAAGCATCCAAGGAACTTACAACCGGAGAATTTAAATGAGGGAAGCGTTTTTCAAACGAAGGGTCATTAATACGCACATGGTGGTTCGTACACTGTAAAAGCATGAAGCCTTTATTGTAACTAATGGCATGTTCAGTTGCAACATTTCTTGGAAATAAGTTCAAGGCCGTGTTTACCACATTTAGATCAATATATTATGCAAAACGATGTGTGCATGTTCTATGTTAATAAGAATTGAAAATACTTCTGAATAATCACTATCACTCATTAATTATTGACTGCTGCAAGTAGGTTATTGTTTCTTGGTATGTAGCAGAACTATTGAATGGATACCTTGTGTTATATTCTATAGTTCCTGTGATTGTAATTGATTTTAAAAATCTGTATAACGTATAAAGAAGCGGGAGAAACTTACAAAAAATACACGTGTAAGGTAATATTTACGATATAGTTGGCAAAAGATTATGTGACTAAACTTGCAACGTTTGGTAATTGTCCAGAAATGGGGCTCCAGACTAAAATCAGAAGTTTTTTCATCTATTTCCCATCATTCTAGAAGATGGGGGAGACAGTTTTCTATGACTTCATAAATTAAAAAATGATAATGCCCCAATTCTGGATAATTACTTGCGTTGGAGACGTCATTGTTTGGTTAGGTAGATTTATGACGAGCGGAGGCGAGCTGATATGTTACAGTATTTTATTCACAGAAGGCATTAGTTTTATACATTTCCTAGTACAATATCGGAATTTCATACAATTCCTAGAATTAGGACTCCAGATCATATCGCTCCAAAAATTTTTTCATTGATTTCAGTCATTTCTAAGGGTTCAATAACTATATTTGAGCTAGGGGAGAGACATTACATTTATTACAGCATACATCATAGGGTATATAATGTATGTATAGTTATTTTTTCTTTTAATATTACATAATAAAATAATTTTACGCAGTAACAATCCTGAGATAAAGGGATTAAAGGCTTATATAACTTGTGACCCCTCCCTTCAGTTCCTGATCTCCTCACCCATCTCTTCCCGCATCCACAGTTTAGAACTGTGATTTGTATTTTGAAAAGTTCTCATTCAAAAAAAATTTTTTTTTTAATTATGAACTAATAAAAAACTGTCTCCCCCATCTTCTAACATCTAATTTTATTATGTAGAATAGATTTTGGTCTGGAGCCCCAATTCTGGATAATTACTCAACTTTTAAAGAGATCAATCGCATTGGGACCTTTTATAAAAGCACTTTTGTAAATTGAATTGCTTCGTCCCCTTTATAAATGCTACCTACTAAGCTAATCCTGAACTCTCTATTTCGGATTTATCGTTTTAAATGGGAACGAATGTTTATCTTTGTGCCATAGCGCAGTTACATATACTGAATTGCTTGTTTCATTAGAACAATTGAAATTCAAGTCATATGACAATGCCCAAATGCAGAGGGTCACAATCTTTGACTGTTTCTCTCTCTATCTCATTTACTTCAACCTCAATCTCCTTTAGAGGCTGGGAATAGCCTTCCAGGAAAGCGTCCGATGGTTTTAGTTGTTATGCTGACACACGTCCCAGTTTAATGATAACTGCTAACCGACCCTTTTTACAACCCTTAGCGTCAGATCGTTGTGTTAAAATTGTTAGGACGATTTAATTACAGACACCATTTGTTCAAACTCATCGTCACTTTTGCAAAGTTGGTTGACAAAAATTTTTATTATTACGCAACAACTTTAGTTGCTTAAAAAATTATTAATATTATTAAAATAAAGTTTAAAGTGCATACGTACCTACAATTGGAAATTATATAAAGCCAAAAATTTATTTATTTTCATTTCCTGTTAATGATTTCAATGATTTCTCATCCTTATCCGTAACAATAAGTACAGAAGCCAATTTTGATTCATCTGTATTTTTTTCTGACTATTTTTACTAGATCAGATTACTGTTCGCAAATAGTTAAGGATGTGGGTTGTTCTAGTTTTAGGGAAAATGCATAGATTAGCTCAGGGTAAGAAAGTGTGGAGGTACGTGTCCAACCAGTCTTAGGACTGACGACCTTATGATGATGATATTTTTAAATTTAAATTTTCTAAAAGAAATATTTATGTATAATAAATGTTGCAGGAATAATATTCAGCGTGTTATTTAAACTACCAGTATTTTGTCATTCTCCATAATCTTTCCTTTTCTGGCAGCTTACTAAGTAGTTACATGTTAGCTTTCGTTTCTGATCTTAACCTGAATATTGCATACATCTCAAGTTCGTTTTTGCGTTTATGTCTCTCCTTCAAATATTCCGGTTTATAGATTGGTTTGATTTCTTTCTACTCATTCGCATATTTCAATGAATTTAGTTTTTCCTCTACTTTTTGTTTGTCTTATTCTTTTTCAGTTTTCTCTGCTTCTGCCCATAAGTCGCTTTGATTATAGTAGTCAGGTGTCCATTTCTTTTCTAGAAAGTATTTTCTTCTCTCTATCGTCCACTTTTCTGCTGTTGGTCCTTTTTCTTTTTTATCTTTTCTTTTTCAAGTATTTAATTGTATCTTGTCTTATACTTTTAAGCATTCTTTATGTAGACTACATCCCTCTAGATTACATCCCTCTTTTCTATTTTTTTCCTCATGTTTTATCGTCCTTTTTCTTGTATTATTTGCTATCTTTTCTTTGCCTGTTTCTAATTTTAGTAGGTAGCTTGGTGTTATTTGATCAAGTCTGATCCATTTTATGTTTTGTACCCTTTCGATTACTTTGTGCCCCGATCATCCCCTTATTTCAGCTCCATACATTAGTATACTTTCTGCCAGTACTTCAAATAAATACATTTTCTTTTCCAAACATTCCTTGGAATCCCTTTCAGATATGCTCCGTACTTTCCCTAAGACTGCAGTTGTCTTAATTTTTTTTATATTTACTTTCTACTGAATTTGGTGATAAAATATCTTAAACTTTCACACCTCTCTGTTTTTTAGACGCATTCTCATTAAATAAGATCAGTAACAATTTATTATTATTATTATAACCTGTTAAAAATGAACACTTACGAATAGAATATTTTGTTAGAATCACAAAGAAACTAAAACAGTTGTTAGGTTCGGCTTCTTCACAGAACAGAAAATCGAACGATTTTACCTGAAACTCACTTTTATTGCTTTATTGCTCTTCGTTCTGTCAAGTTCTAAATAAAATACGAGATCTAGTTTCGTTTGTTAGCCGTTGTCGGCTCTTTATATTCGATATGATAGAGCTAGAATGCAACATTCCGTCAAATTTTACGAGCCCCAGGAACAAACAGTAATAATAGGATGGATAAAACTTCCAGCACCTTTCAAATATTCTCCGGAACGACTAATCCTTTGTATAATTAGGATATATGTGTTAACATTATATATATTACCGATACTGTTGACTATAGATTTAGTCCTACGCAAATAACTTTACAAGTTTTATAATTGATTTGGTAAATCCTTTTTTACAGTAGGTAATCAATTTCTTCTTTTGCTACACACAAATACAATTGGCATATTTCTCGAAACTATAAAAACTGTAATAATGAAAAAACAATTCACCGATATTAACAATTAAAAATTGTAAAATCTATCAGGCGTCTTTTTGTGTTTTAATCATGTAATTAGTGGAAGAATTGTCAATAGTAAAAGCGTTTAATAAAAGTGAATTTATTTATTGGAGAAATACATGTATGTATGTATGTATTATAATCCTCTGTATGAAGTTTTAGAACTGTCTCTTTTATTTTCGTCTTTCGTCGTCTTTCTTCTTTTCTGAAGAAAAATATTCAGTAAGTACGCTATATGAACTCCGTTTCATAAATCTTTCCCAGTATTTGTCGAGAGCATACATGAAAAGTCGAACCGAAAAATTTGCCTGCTTTATGAAAGTTTTTATATCTACGAGAAGTTATTGAAAATTCTAGCAACTACCGCTGAACTAAAGGGGTTTTCAGATACCATCCATTAATCGTAAAATTTAATTAAATCAGAATTTTGTAATATGTAGTGGCAATTACGTCATTTATGCTAAGATTAATTGTACTCACTGGATATGCCTCTGTTATGGCGTTGTTTTTTCAACAATCTTTATGTATAATCTTATTTTTTTACACACCTCTTCAGCGTCTGAGTATCACTTACTAACGGCATCACGTTATCGTTGATTAAATGTATATATTTATAAATTCTATTCTTTTAAAAATCATGACGGAATCAAAATAAAAAATTAAACTAAACAAAAGAAATGTTTACGTTTAGTATTTATATATATTTTCTTTTTTAATTGAGAATCTTTTCATCAACTTGGTACGTCAAAATCAAAGAAGAAAAATCACTTTAATATGAATTTCTACATCTAAATGGGATGTACCTGAGATTCATTATCATCATTAGGTCATCAGTCCTAAGAGTGGTTGAACATGCACATGACACAATCTTCGCATTTCCCTAAAACTAAAACAACGCACATCCTTAACTATTTGTGAACAGTAATCTAATTAAGGTCTACCTCTACCCCTCCTAACTCCCGTTTCTGCCTCTAATATGTCTCTGACTAGACCTTCATGCCTTAGAAGGTGTCCTACCAACCTATCTCGCCTATTTTTTATTGACTTCCATAGAGTCCTCTGATCTCCTATTCTTTCTAATACCTCTCCATTTCTAACCATCTCTATCCACGGTATCCTTATCATTCGCCTGACACACCACATTTCGAACTCTTTTAACCTTCTCTTTTTCGCCGTGCCCACTGTCCATGTTTCGAACCCGTACAGTGTCGTGCTCGAATACCCGAGATTGTTGCAAAAATAAATAGGGGTACCCGTGAATGCCGTTTCAATGAAACGTTTTTGAATCTATGACAGGTTTTTCCTCCTGAGAGGGTCAGAGTTAACCATACATTTATATTTCTCATTAAAAAACAATTTTTTTCGATTATTAATTAATTGCTATTTGAAAAACTTTTATATACTTATATACTCGTCAACTTTGACGCACCCTGATGGAGAAACCAATCATGGAATCGTAAAATGAGCCATTAAAACAACTTAGGG